CACTACAGTGGCGGGTTTTCATAAATCTTACTTCTTGGCAGGAACGTGTGATGATTCTCCTTTAAACATTTATGGAAGGTGAAGAATTATGTTATTATTAACATACTACTCAACTAAGGTAAGGCTCCCAGGAATCCTTATGTAATATATTCCTGTTGTTATCCTTATGTTAAAAAAACATTTGGGTGTAGTATCTTGTGTGTTAACATTTCAACAATTGTGATGCTGTGGGTCAAAGAGTTGCAGAGCAGAATGGTTTTACTGACGTAACTGTATTAACATACAAGGATGATTAGAATGGTTGGCACACAAGAAAGCCAGAAGCCAAAGTGCCATCTTTTTGCTTGATCTTGTGTAATTGGAACGGGTCAGTTTTACTTTCAGTGTCAGGGCACTGAATCTACCTGATGTACATGCAATCTACAGACTTCAGTTAATTGACTTCATCTTATTTTGACATAGGGGGACTTGAACTTAACCTTACTTCACTTAGTTATGTGTCAAACTGCATACATCAAGTTAGGTTTTGAGGACACTTGGAGGTCACCTAGTCCAATTCCTTGCTTTGAGTAAAGCCAACCTCTGAACTAGATGAAATCAATCTAGTTTTGAGGGAGAAGAGGAAAGGGAAAAAAACAACTAGAACTACCTTCATTTTTCGCTGTAACCACAAAATCACAAAGTGAAAGATGAGTGTGCTACTACTGCGTATCTAAATCTGCTGGGGCTTCTATGATCTGTGTTGGCTCATGTGTGAAAGCTATACCTGGAGCATGCTCACTGAAACTGGTATTTCAGGTAACAAGATTACCAAAATTGTTACTGTACAATTGAATACCTGAGAGAGGCACCGAAAGATTCAGCGTGGCCAAAAATAAGGTATTTTTGGTTCTGCAGTGAAGCAGACATTTAAAAACCAGTAGAACCTCACAACTGTGCTGATAAGCATCATGGCCTAAGTACAATGAGCTGTGTAGCTGCACAGCTACGAGTCTGGGTCCTGTTGCTGTGCAGAAGTCTTTGTAATTGGGAAGCTGCTTTGAGAATCAACCTGCTAAACTTTGATGTTCTCCTGCTTTATGACTGCAATGTCTGCAATGACAAGTCAGGGCTTCTGCTTCCAGGTTATACCTCAAGTCCTGATGCTTTTGTGAAATGAGGATGGTAGTGTTACTCAGGTATATTGTAGAGGTAAAACTGGCAGTATGTCACAGGGTGTGCTATAATTCTGTAAGGGTATATAAACACACCTGTACTGGTGGCTAAGTGTCAGGGTACTACCAGATGATATTTAATATTAGATTATCCAGGTGTGCTACTATTCTGAAGTGTCTGTCCAGTAACTAGCAGCTATTAGTGACTAAATGTCAGTATATATGCATATACTAGTAGACAGCTATTTCTTTTTAGGAAGTTTGTTGTTCAATATCACACATTCCTAAAGGAAAGACATTGAAACACAGCTAGGCATGTGAAATGCCTGGAATGTACAGCATAGTGCATGTAATTAATGATAAAAATGAAATAATTATGTGATAGAGAATAAGCAGAAGACTCATTTTAATCCCAAAGGGATGTGACTTAGGATACAGGTACAAAATCAGAGGGGAAAAATATATTTAAAATATTTTAAAACATCAAAATGCAGTAGAATGCATACAGTTTTCCTTCTCAGAAGGAGTCTTATGTTTGCTACACCTAAAGAATTTTGGCCATATAACTTGGTGTACTGCTGAAGCCACCAAGACATCACAATTAGCTGAGAAATGAAGAATAGCATAAGCAATAATTTGCATTTGTAGCAGGTTAGGATTTCTAGTAAAGTTACTTTGTTGTAGCTTGTAAATTACTGTCCTGAAAGGAAGAAAACCTTTTATTATTAAGAGTGATCGTCTTGTCCACAGTTGTTTTTGGAGAAAAAATCCACACATCAAACTGCTCATTCACATATAGTTCACTAATCACTATGGTATGGGTGCAATTATATCTGGAATTAATTTTTAAAATTCAGGGGTAATATTCTGGTATTTTTATTCAAGTTTGACTCTTAGCCAGGAAATAGAAAAGATTAAACCCCACATATAATCCAGTGTTACATTATTTGGAAAGGTAAAGTTTTACTTTTCATTCCTTTATAAGCACAACAAAGAAAGATAAAGTTAACTTGGTAATTCTTACTTTATGCATGAAAGTAGAAAATAATCCCAGTGCAAAAAGCAGATGTCTTTATTTCATTTTATTTTTATTTTATTTTATTTTTATTCTTATTATTTTTTATTTTATCTTTTTTATTTGAAGCTTTGTGTTCTTTGACTTCCCTGTCATTTTGACACAAATTTTCTTAACCCTTTTCTCTAGAGCAATTATAGTCATGATGTTCCTCAACACTGAACTGGAACAGCCAGTTGGGAAGAGGTAAGTCAGAATGAATTAAAATGATTTCATAGAGCACACAGAAAGCCTTTGTGTTCTAGAGAATGACTGAGTAAATAGAAGATATTTGCTTGCTGAATAAAAAATAACACTAAACTAGCTCTGAACACTGTCTGGCTCCCTTATATTCTCAGTAGCAAGTGTTAGTTTGTGTCGAGCATCAATGTATAGTTTGGAGAGTTCAAAGCTCCTCTGTATTTTGCTAGTTAGTCTGGGTTTTCAGTGTTTTACCATTTAACAGTTAAACGTTTTTCAACTGTTATATTTTGCACATAGTTTTTTTTGCCATTGCAAAGGCTTTATCCCACTTACTTTCCCTTCCCATTGTTACAGTTTGTGTCAGGACAGTAGCAAAGACTTGAGTTCAGGCCCTGAGGTAATTCCCTAGATTCTGGCAATAGTCGTGGCCAAAGATGCACAGTCTATCTCTAAAGGCTTTGTATGGGTCCCTACAGTTTCCTGTAGAATTGAAGGTGCTCCTAGACAGCCTCTCAAATGTCTGGGAAAAGGACTTTTTCGGTCCTAAAATAAGGAGGGGAAAGAAGCACCAAAAGTCATTACTCAGCAAGCCCCATTGTTGATAACCTTGAAATACAGATATGGGTAAAACTGGAATTTGAGTTTAAGATAGTTTTGTTAATGAGGAGAAACCCCCCAATTATTAATCCTATAAATGTTTAGAGATTAATAGTTTTATGTGGTTTATTTTCTTTTAAGATGAGAATATTTTATAACTTTATCTCTTATTTCTTCATCTGTCAGACTTGACATATACTGTAAACTTGAATAGCCCTAAAAACTTCAAAGCTTCTGTTTTAGAATCATTAAGAAATGGTTAATATCAGTATTCAGACTACTGGGAGAGCCTGTGTGTTTTGAATTTTTTCTCCAAAAGTTTCTAAACCTAATGCTGACTCATAACATAGCAGTTCTGGAATTATCCTTGCTTTGGTAAAGAAGTTTCTTAAAACAAGTGTTAAGTCTTTTGAGATCTGTGTGCATATATTTGAGATAACATAGCTCTAAAATATTACATATGGCATGACTACATGGTGATAAAAGGGTAATTGTTATGCATTTGTGCATACCACTTGTACTTCATAAAACTGATGGGAGAGAATTTTTCAAGTTATCAGTCTCGTGCACATACAGAATAAATCTTTTTTCCCCTGGCAGCCATCAAAAATGAGAAAACCCCAAGTCTGCTACATAAGCAAGATGCTATGTGAATTTTGCTATTCATGATTGTTTCCTGAGTTTTGATAAACATTCTATGCACCAAGACTTCTACTACATCTATTAGGGAGATAATATACAGTTCTGTATTCCTCTCTGTAAAAACATCTTCCCAGAATTTTGCCAGTCTTTTATGGGAAATGTATTGTAACATTCAACCACAATTTGCAATAGGTGAAACTATGTGACCTCACTTTCACATTATCACTTTTTCAATTCATTATTATAAATATGGACTGTAATGATACCTTCAAGCATGCCAAAATTATCTGGAACTCATACTGTCTCTTTCCATCATAGAACATGCAACCTAAATGCAAAAGCAGCGCATTTTTATATGTCTTTGCTTGTCGGACATGAGCTGTCACTCATTCTCTCATTTTTTTTTGCCATATTCCTAAAATATTATTAATGATTAAATTACAGTATTTACATAGAATTAAAAAGTGAAATCAAAGAGCTTTAAAATTTAAATCTAGTGTTAACTAATGCATTACTTTTTCCCAAGGATTTTTTCAGTACTGTAATTGTCCCCTAGAGAAGATTTATGTCATTTCAGAGATACAAGAACAGTATTTTTTATTTTAAAAAAAATTAAAAACATAATATCTGTGCCAAGAAAAGCAAGATAAAAAAAAAAAATTAAGTAAATTAAACTTTACAAGTAGTATTGACACCAGACTGTGTCTTACACTATTTCATTACATATATTTAAATACCATTGAGGACCCTTCTCTGTAATCATTTTACATTCTCTGCAGTTACTCAGCATGGTTGAGGTTGATATAAAATATGCAGTTGTACACTTGGGCAAGCATAAAGCAGTTGTAAGGTTTTTAAATTAAATTATATAAATATCAAAGCATAGATGGAAAAGTTAGTACGAAACGTCTTCCAAATTGAAACACATTCCACAGAGCTCTAAGTCTATGACACTGAACAGGGAAAAATCACATCACTATATTTTGTTTTTTGTGTTGAAGAAACTTTAAAATTTTTGTGAGATTTTTAATGTTTTTAACACTGGTTAGCTGCTGTTTTCTTGTAAATACTTTCACAATTCTATTCTTTCATGACAGAACATATGCAGGTAAATAAAAATTAAATTACATCTGTTAAAGACATTGTAAACCCTGGGAAACACACATAAAGTATTTAGTCAACATTTCCTTTTCCACCTTTATAGCGGTGTCAGTAACTATACTGTCTCTAGCTGAATTGTCAAAATACCAAATTCTAAACAAATAGTTATGTAACACAAAAATATTTGGAACTTTCAATTTTTTTCAACACGTAACATGCTTTAATATAAACCTTTCATATGAACTTACCTCTGCTTCCCTGAACATGCAGAGCAAGGCAAATGATCAAAAATATTAATCCAGTTTTCAAATGCATGCTGTCTATTGATTATTCAATATTTTCAAGAACAATCATGCAGGAAACAAGAATATTTAGGTCGCGTAGAAGAATTATTATTTTTCCTAAAAAACTAAAATCCCGAAATGTCTTTTGTTGTTTTTTAAAAATATTTTTCAGGTGTCTCCAGCCTTGGACTGCATTGAATTGTAATTAGGCGAAGAGTGCAACAGATACCAGAATGCAGGAGTTGGACAAGTCCGTCCAATGCACACACTTCTAGCCTGGGTGACTGCAGTGATAAGACAAGAGTGACGAGGTTTTGAAAAAAAGCAGTGTCCGTTTCTGGAATAATCTGTTTATCTGCTGTTCAGACATAATCCCTCTTACGGTCCAGCTGGAAGAGCTTTCTTCATCTTATTAGCCTTCTGGAGCAGCATCTGTCAGCCCCAGAAGACTTCAGTGGCACCATGATAAACAAAGGAAGTCTCTTCTAGTGCCTGTTGCCTTCAAACGCTGTTACTTGGGCCATTCTGGATGTGTTGCATGTGAGCAGAGGTGAAATCATGGGAGAGAGAACTGTGCTATTTCTAAATCAATGATCAGAAACCTGAGGGAACTTACTTTGAAGAAGACAGCTTTTTCTGAAAGAACATATTATACTCAGCTATGTCACTGTGTTTGCCTTGAAAGATCTTCTCCTTTCTTGTACCAGAAGGCTGCTGTTGCAGTATTCCTGTCAGAGCAGTGATGATGATGTTCTGTGCCAGCAATGAAATGGTGTGACTCAGCAGTAAGTTGCAGCAGTGTTCAGAGCTGGCACAATCTGATGGCCTACTGGGAGTGGGGGAGGGAAGGTGCTGCATGGAGGGAGAACAAGAAACAGTGGTAGGAAATGCTGTTTCAGTCACATAGCTATAGCCAGGCCAAGAGTTGGCGGTGAGTGAATACACCTTTCAATTAGTTCTGCCTCAGTTTCCCAAATAAATATTTGGTTATATATTTGCTATGTGCAAGTATTTCATACTTTTATTTTCCAGAATGCTTTCTTAATGTTGTATTGCACCTGGAAAAGCTACCAGGTGGGCATTTGTAATAGTTTGTCCCCCTTAGAGACTTCTGTGCATTTGTGCTTTAGCATAAGATGTATCTGGACTGACAGCAAGAATCTGTTTTCTAGCACTGTAAGTAAAAGTTACTTTGAGAACAACCTTCATTTGAACCCAATCAGTATTCTATTTTTACTTAGGATTTAAACAATGGTAACCTCCCTCCCTTCCCTAAATTGCCTAATTTTAACTACTCAGACCAGCTAGTACAGAGACTAGGCTGGGACAGAATAAGATCTGCTTATTTTAATACTCACAATATTTTTCTATTTTCAGTCTTTAAGGTGCATAATGTTTCACGCACATTGTTTTATTGTTCTAACAAAATAAATTAAGAAGATATTAAGAAGCACAATCAAGGCAACAATGCAGATATCAGGATTTCTACTGGAGAAAATTTGATTATTACATAAGCATCATTCTGCTGCAATACCAATACTTCTCTATACATACTTTATATAGCATAATCATATGGTATATAATGTAAGCTTTAGCAAGTATTTATAAGCAAGTATTTATAAGCATGTTACAGTTGAAAGAGGACGTTCCCAATATGTTATCTTATTTTTAGTTGCTTCAGCTCTCAATCTGCAACAATTGGAAATGTAGGGAATTTTTCTGAGGGTAGTAGAATCTGTTATTTCTGGTGACATCTGAAAGTGTGGGATTGGAGAAAGTCATAGATTATTTGCTTCCTCAGAGCACCCTAGGTAGCAATGTGCCTATAGAGTTTGGTAGGAATGTGACACTTTAATTCCATTAGGAACCTAATTTAAGCATCAGACTACATCTTGAAAATGTGCAATAAAGAGATTTACTTAATAGCTATGCAAAGACTTGTTAGTGAAGCCTGAGCCAGGAATCAGAAATCGTTTATCAAATCTTTCATTTAAAAATTGAGTTGGAGAAGACAAGCATTTAATAAAACATACTCTTATGGGAGAATATGTTTTATGTTTCAGAGATAAAGGAGCAGGAATAGTCATAGAACACAGTGCAGTATTGTTTACTGTTAAGGTATAACTTAAGGAAAATACTGAGATCCATAGGTAAACTGACTAAAAATGTGTAGGGCGGGAGTCTGAGTACTTTGAGATTATGTTTAAATCATTAATATTTCAAGCTGATTTCTGTTAAGGCATTGCCTTCTATGTGTTTCCATGTAATTAAAAAATTTTGTCACTAACCTTGATGACTGCCACAGTGGAAGCAAACAAGAATGATAAACACTCATTAAAGATAAAGCAATATTATCTAGGGACCACTCCATCTCTAAGTACTGTAGTGTTTAATTATAGTTCACTGTTAATTAATCTAGAGGTGCTGCTTCTAGTTGGTGTGCTGTCACCAGTAATTATACATAGTTAAAGAGGAGATAAAAACAATTCTACTGAAATTCAAAAGTGCATTGCAAATATACAACCAAGACATAGGAAGGGCAAAACTATGCTAAAATATCCATTCACCCAGGGTAAGTGCTTGTAAATGGGTTAAATCAGACCAGTTAATGGTCACCTCCGTGAACTACTAAATGTAGAATAACGCACTGATGTGCTGTTTTAATACAACCAGAGCTGTCTCCTTTGCTTGCAGAAAAATGACAATTTAGATCATCAAGGACTATGTTTAGAAGACTTTTAATGTAAATTGTTGGTAAATCTGGAGCTCAAGGTATTGCCACATAAGGATGATCTAAAAGTTTCTGCGCATAGCTCTGAATTTTAGGTACCCTGTGTAAGGACATCAGACAACTCATATTCCCCATAAAGACAAGTAAGATTCTGTGCCATCAGAACTGGAGTCTGTACCACCAAAGTTTGACTTCTAGTTTTATTTGTCCTGACTAACTTCTCCTTCTGGTCTAGCCAACCCTCTTCTTTATAATTTTCATGCTGCATTTACTAGAGGTACCTGTCCCACTCTGAGGAAGGGGAGATCTGTAATTATGAAGTACCTTTTAAATAAACTTAAGTCTTCCTCTGGTATTCCTTATTTTCATAGGAACCAGACTGGTACCAGGCACAGCTTTAGGATCCTGATTAAAAGTGAGGAACTTGGGTTCTTCTTTTCCCTTCTTTTCCCTTCTTTGCTGCTGAGCTTGGCCAATCCAAGCCCAAACTCTCAGCCTCCATATCTGCAAATGGAGGGGAGAACGAGAAAAGCCCTTGTAGTAACAAACAAGAGAATATGTGTGAGCAAGAATGGCTTTTCTCCCTCTTTCTTGTGCACTCAAATATAGATAAAATATTTCACAAATTATTACTCTAAGTTTTTAAAGTAATATTTCATTTTTAGATCTTCACATTTGCATATCAAATTTAGGCATCAGTAATAGTCCTGAAGTGGATTTAAAGAGTTTGTAATGAAAAGCACAATTTGTCATTTTGTTCTTGAGCTTTTCCAGTGGGCAGAATTTGTATTTTTCCCTCTACTGCTGCCCAGCTACCATGCTTTTATCCTCACTGAACTAATATGAGACTTATATTTAGTCAGTAACTTAAATAAAATAAAAAAATAAATAAAACCCCATATTTTTCAGGACTGTTAAAAATACCTCTATTTTATTTACTGTTTTTGTTCATAGATAATTCCTCCTTCTGGGTTCTCTCTTTAGTACAGGGAACAAATAAGATCCAATCAAGGAAAACCAGATTAAATCTAAGCAAAATTATTTCTCCCTGAAAGAACTGATCAGTGTCCAGACATTGTGCTTTCAAATGTCCTCTTGTTTTTCAGACTAATTGTTCTTTAAAACCTTTTTATTCTGGAAATTCCTGTATTCTTCTTTAAAAACCGTACTTGACCAGTATATCCTGGAAGAGTGCTACATAACTCACTTTGCTGGTTGCCACAGATAGTGGTAGCATTGGGATAATGCACTACATTTGTACTGGGGTGTCATTAAAAGAATAGTTCACAGCAAATACTGTGGAAATGAAATTAGTTTCTAGGCTGAGTAAATGCCAGAATTGGAATAATAATTTCGTTTAGAATCACACGGTACATTTGAACTGTGAGAAACTGCCAATAACAGATTTCAGTGACCCAGGAGTTCAAAATAAACTGAGAGATTAAGGTTCTGAGTTGCTGACCACACAACTAAGTGTTTTGATTGGCCTCTATGTACCAACAGAAAGAGTTTCTAGAAGGATTTTGGTGCAAGTCTGGAGAATTATTCTTCAGCAAGTCTAACTTCTGTACTAGGCAAGTTGATAGAAACCATAATTAAATCAACACAATAACAAGAATTATCTGGCTGGTACAATATCCTTGGACAGCCGATAGTTTTTTATGAGGTCTGCTCTTTAAGAAACTAAGCTGTCATGGAGTAAAAAGAAAAATAATCTGGTTTAATTGCTTATTAAAAGATGAGAAATAAGGGGAGAAAAAAAACATTTAAAAAGTCAGGTGTTTCCATTAGGTTTTATGCTGGAAGAGGAGGCAAATGCTAAGATAAAATGCTAAGATAAAAAAAATGCTGATGGTACAGATTTGCTCAGAATTGCTAAGATTTACACTAATAGTGAAAAGATGCAGACCTGAGTGCTGCTGCTGAATATGCATAACAAAGCTGCAGATAAAATATATCCGTGGGAAAAAAATGATGCTGTCAATGAATAGCTAATTATTCGCTCTAAATTAGTAATAGCTCTTTGGCAAGGAGAGTCCAAAAGAATAATTTTCTGAAAATGGCAGTTCAATCTTTAGCCATGATCAAAAGGAGAAATACAATATTAATACTTTATTAGAAAGAAATAGAAAGGAAATTAATTTTAAAAAATAAAATGGTATATCATGCATATTTAATGATTCTCTGGTCCTGCAATAGCAATAATATCTTAATACCTAGTAAAACTAGAAATTTTAATGGGATGGTGGCGAAGATTATCAGAGGAATGGAATGGTTTCCATCTAATGGAATATTACACA